AAATTAGTACATATGTATACGTGTATATATATATATGTATAAAGCGATTGCTCACCCCAAGGCATCCCAAGAGGGTGGAGGTAGAAAACGTATCTCATCAGTTACCTCCACAGAGTTGATGAAATTTCTCCTGAATTTTTGCTTAGGTCTAATCTCTTTTTATACTTTTTTTGTTTAAGCAGTTTGAGCAGCTGTAGTCAATAAACTAATTTTGGGGTGATAGACAGATGACAGAAGCCCAAGGGTAATTTTCTTGTGTTCCCATCTGTCAGAATACTTTCTCCAAAAAAGGTCATGTTATCTCCATATCACTCCTTTCTTCATTTAATCCTCTTATTTGTTTCTGGGAATGTCTCCCCAGGTGCTGGGGTCTTCCAGGAAACTATCAGGTGTTTTTTTTCTCCTATTGTGTAGCCTTTCTATCACCTTACAGATGCTAATTTGAACAAGAAGTTCTTGAAGTGAGGACATAGCACACAAAGTTCTGTGGGACTTTCCTTGAACTCAGCGTCATTGATGTTTGATTTAAAAAGTTGGCTTTCTACATTTTTAACAGTGCCTGTGTTACAGGTTAGATCCACAGCAGAAGTCTAAGCACTTCTCACTTGTGCAGTGCAACTCAGAAGAGCAAGGTCAGACATCCTGGCATTCTCAGACAATTAATGGAGACAATTAGGCACAATTCCAAAGGACAATCCAAAAATATCACACGCACTATGCAGAACACCAAGAAATTATCACCTTCTTCCTAGAAATTCAACCTGGTTCCTTTGCAATATTGAATGAGGTGTCCTCTCCTAATGAAAAGTACCTTGAGATGCCCTCAGGAAGAGGAAGTCTTAGGTCCTGAACCATATCAAAAATCATGTTTCTGAGGAGCAGGTCATTCCCATGTGTCTATACAATGTTCTGAGTGAGAAAACCATTCATGAAGAGAGAGAAAACCATCCACAAAGAGTGAGAAAACCATCCACACAGTCTCTGCAGCTCAGCAGCCAAGAAGATCAGAGCCTTCAAGGCTGAGAAAAGAAATGTAAATATCTTACCTTGTAGCCTATGGATTATAACATTGACTCGGAGGATGGACAGTCTCTGCTCTGGTTGACAGGGTGGATAATTCCCAGTGGTCTTGCCAAGTAATCTCGGAGTGTCTAGCCTATAGAAATTTTGTAGGGCAGAGTAAACTAAAAAGAAGATAAATGTTTTGTGGATTTTCACAACACCAGCAGGAAAGCTTTTCTGGCACTCTAAACCACATCTGATGCCCTGAAAATACCTTAAAATTCAATGATATCCCACTGGGGAAAAGTAAACTTGATCATTATAGTGCAAATATTATGGTGTTCCACTAAGGTAGCATAAAAATACTACCTCTACATCTCCTTTCCAAAGTAGTGCTGAATTAGGCTTTACAAACTGAAATACTTTCTTGATATATGACATAAAAATTAAATATCTATATTACTGTCATCCTTACCAGATGTAAGGAGAAAGATGGGTATTTGGACAGGATTAATTTATTATACTACCAGTAAGAAAACCTGAAATTAGAAAGCAATAACTGGCTTTCACAGTAGCTTCAAACGTCTTGAGCTAAATTAGTTCTCAATTAAGTCTGTTACATTCTTTTGGTGAGCAGGATTGTGCTGTTTAAAAAAGAAAATCCTCATTTTATAAACTTTCAGACAGAGCACTTAAAAAAAAAAGACAATACTGCTGAAAGAGCTGATGTTATCTCTGTTTGCAAGAGCAGTGAAAAACTAGTTCATGGGTAGGCTGCAAAACATTTTAAATTATCCCTACAGAGGCTAGTAAAGCAGCATTTTTCAGAAAAAGTAAATTTACATGAATTCAAAACCACAAAAATACTGATGCTTGTTGTTTTCCTTTTCTCTGTAACCATCACTGATTTTTTATGTGTATATTAGCAGTATCATGCAGAACACTTTTTATCTTTTTCTGTCTGGCTTTGCAAAAGCATCTGCATTCCTTAAATCTCTTTTTCATTCCAGTGTACTCTTCTCTAAGGCAAGAAAACAGCCTATAAAATGTTTTGAAAGTGAATTTTGAAACAGGACCAGAATGGCTCTTAAAAGCAAGCCTGTACTATAAAATCCTGCTTCCAGCTACAATTTGCTGAGGTCTAATGGCCATCTGACAATTAGACAGTCTGTACCCACATATGAAAGAAAGTGGATATACAAAGAACTCTCAATATTTTCTATACCCTAGCTAGCAATAGCTCCAGTTCAAAATGTAGCTCTCCAAGCATATGTCAAAGACTGGAGAGGATAGGTCAGAAGGCCAGTTGTTTGCGTCACCAGAGCTTTCACTAGACAGAATGCATTAAGAATATTTATGAGTTGGACGAGCAGAGTCGACCATAATGCAATTGCAGCTCATTTAATTTAAAAAAGGGAATGAAAAATGCTTACCTCAACATGTCTGCTTAAGCCATCATCTGATTTACTCCATTTGTATCAATACAGGAAGTCAAACAGGCAAATTGAATTTACGGACGAGAGGAAGAAAAACCAATTTTCTCTGGAGAAACCCAAGTAACATAGCTCATACCTAAGCTTCCTTATCTGTTTTCCCATCGCTCACCGTACACAGCATTTTACAAAGCAGTAAACCAATTTAAATGATCCATATGTGTCAGCTATTGTACTGCAGTCTCTACAGTAAAACCTTGCTCTTTGTAGGACAACTCACCATCTCAGCCCTCTGCTTAGGGTGAGGGTCCCAGCTCAGACATCCACACTCATCTCAGGTCTTGCTGGTTTCGGTAGGGATAGGCCAAGATCCTGGGCCCTCCTGATCCCCTCTTTTCATGCTCACTTGCAAAATGGTGCCCATCTGTTAGAACTAAAATGTGCTCACAGCCTAGTACCGATTTAATGACAGTCTTGCCCTACCACCACGCAAAGTCTTTTTGTTATGGTTAATATAAAAACGTGTGCCTTTCAGGGCTACTTATTCTAAGTAGTTTTTTCAATTATCTCAGTTAATTCCAGCTGAAAAACAACAGTATGTCAAAGACAAAGCTTTAACATAAATAGGCATGTATTCAAAAATACAGCTGACATGGCAGAAGTTTTTCTAGACTTCGCATTTTTCTGACAGAAAATAACAGACTTAATAGAGCTGAAATGTTCTCGGGAATATGTTGACAAAACCTCCAACTGACTTAAGGATGGTTCCCATGGAAATCTACTTGGTCGCTGGCCCATTTGCCCTCTCCTCTTTCCTCCCCTCATCTCTCCAATGACCAACATGGCAGGGAGTCATCAAGCCAGGAGTGAAACACTAAGCAGCTCCAGAGTCAAGGAGCTGTATTCCTAGGGAGCTCATGAAGTCTATTCTGCTTTTGAAAGAGTTTTTGGAAGACTGTATTTTGCAGTGATCCATGATAGGAATCTAACCTAGGACCTTCATACCCACAGAGGCTTCCTCCCTTTTGAGACAGATGCAGGGGACTTTGGGATGCTCAGCTTCTACTACATTTACTGAAAGCATGGCCTTCTCTTGTGCATCTTCCCACACACCTCAGTATAAATTGTCTTATAGTAAGTAGCCTCTTGGATGAAATACCACACCATTTGAAAGTAGTGGACCCAGACAACAAGCTACTTCCTTTGAAGTAAGTATTTTGCTGGTAGGGAAGGTTGTCTTGATGACAAGGTCGTCTAACAGGTATCTGCTGTTACCAAAACAAAGGTAATCATAAAGTTGCTTCAGGGACTGGAAAACCTAGAAGGTCCAGGCTCTTTCCCCTTGTTTTGGCCTGTTTTCCTTAGAAAAGGAAATGAGACAGGCATAATGCGCACAAGAGTGCACTGAAACTCAGACATTAGGAGGACACCTGTGGATCTGAGCCAGTTCCTTGTGTTTTTGTTCTTCGAAGGGGATGTTAAACTGGAGTTTGGGCCAAGTTCCCTAAGAGCTGCTTGGTGACTTAAAAAAGACTGGTTTACCAAGGTCACCTCTAAGCAAACGGAACTAAGCTGCTTTGCAGATGTAGTGTGGACTTTCTAATGGGGGCTTAGCTGACCTTTGGCTGTCAGATGACATTCTGTTATAGGATGCAAATTCCCATATTGCCTGTGTCTGAAGTCAGGCAGAGTGCATCCCACCCATAGCGCCAAGCAATTCAATATGCATTTTCAAACACACTATAAACTGGGTTTTTTCCACATGGACACAAGATCCTTCTGTCCTTGGTATAGCCTGGAAGGGTTCCATCAAATTCATTTCAGGGGGACGATTACGTGTGATTCTCGCTGTGCTTACTCTCATTTTTTTCCTTAGTCCAGATCAGGCATGCAGAATGGTTATTTTCCTATTTAATAAGGTGCCTCCAGATCATTCTGGGAGGAGAGCTAGATGCCATCTCCTTGCCCTCAGGAAATCATATCTGCCTTGCCTGAACCATAACGATACACAGGAGTCTTAAACAGTACAAGTCTAACCAACGATGACCACAGATTAGAAAATGTGTGTTTGTACACTAGATTCTAGTCCTCTAAATACAGAATAGCAAATTGCAAAGGGCACACGATTATGTTTGGTGCCAAGGGCTTAATTTCAGGATAAATTACTAAACAACTGAATTTTACCACCATCAAAATATAAGCTCAGGAACGGCAAGAAGTGTTAAGACACACAGCTTTCTTGAGTTCACGATTAATGTTGAAGCACAAGGGGTCTAGGCTGATTTAAGTTGGCCCTCATCTTGAGAGACATTAACAAAGAAGGAGGTTTCTTTTCTGATTTTTTTTGAGGGGGTGGTAGTATAATTATATAAAGTTTTAATTCAATAACTAGAACTGCCAAACTCAGCAAGAGAAATAAGATGTGACATGTAGAAGTTAGAGAAGAAGGATGCAAAACTCATTAAGGCTGTAGCTGTATCATTTATAAGAACAACATAGCCTGAAGGAAGATTGTGTATATTTTAAAAGGGTGACCCCAGAAACTAGACTTACATAGAATTAACAAACAAGCAAGTGCTATCTATTGTTTGTGACAGGTAACAAACTGACAGCCTTGGCAACAGAGTTATTTATCCCGGGACCATGGACAGCATGGACAACACCACCATCAACAAACTATTTCCCACTTCACACAGAGCTGTCCACAACCCTAACATGAAAAGATTACATTTGAAAACAGATAACATGACTGTGTCTCTATGGTCCTTCTTTCTTGGATATTCATCAGCTGACGACCAAGCTTACTAAAACAAAATTGTTGTCTCTCCACGAAGTCCCCATTGCCACTGAAGTCCAAATCCGGACTTAAGTTATCTTATTCTTCATCCATAAGCTCTCCACTAAATATTTGGATTCATCATTTGGGAAATTCAAAACTGGCAGAGACAACTTCTGTATTCTAAACAGAGATACACATACTCCTCTTCTTCTGTGACACAGTCATTTTCTTTTTGTAGATCTCAGAGATGTCCCATCTTTGAGGTTCCCTTTGCTTAGATCTGCCTTTGTAGTAGATTTGACAAACTGTTGTCCTTCAGATGCCCTTCTTTTTGACATTTTTCATGAAACTGGTGTCTTGGGGTTTCTTCTTATCCTTTGGAGTTTAATTTTCTATTTAAGACTTCGAAGGACACTTTTTCATATACTTTTGGTAAGAAGTCCTGGCCTTGGCCAGCTGGTAGCTGGGAGGCTCTGTATCAGAAAAATAGAGAGACAGTAGATCTGTAAAGAGTTATTCTGTTCAATAAAACAGCCCTTGAGAAAAAAGTAATGTACTGCTCTACTCTTGCACACCTCCAGTGTCTCCCAAATATGCCAAAATAAGTGAGAAAGACATGCTGCTCTCATTCCTCAGGGCAATCCAGGTAGGGCTCTTGGATCTCTGAGAGGACACAGTCCCAGAGCAGATATACATGGAAACATAAAAAAATATAATGAAAAATTGAAATAATGTAAAAAATTAAAATAATGCAAAAAATTAAAATAATATAAACTATAAAATTTCTAACCCAGTTAAACTAATTTCAGCAACTTCTCATATTCTTTTGTGTTTCCTTCAAAGTAGCTTGAGTCGTTACATGAAACTTTAGTCAGATGAACTGATAGATGGCAACTTAAATCAAAATCACACTGCCTTTCACAAATGCCATCCTAAACTTGGTTGCACCATAAAGTCCTCCCACTGATAACAAATACTCGTTTGTTAATAGCCTCTGGATTTTGGTCTTTTTTGGGTCATATTTACAAGCAGTCTCAATATTTCTGAACAACTGCCAGTCCAAAATTTTCCTTTCCCTCTGTTTTGGTTGTGTAAAAGGACTTCATGTGTTTGGCTCATTAACTTTGTGCTGTCTGGGAAGTGAAGGCAAAAGCTCTGCTTCCAGGCATAATTTGCATGTAGCTGACTGCAGCAATTCATCAGGTTCTTGGACCTTAATATATCCCAGCATGTGGGATCTGGGCCTCAGTTTAATTTCTAAATTAAGTAAATCTTTAAAGCTATAATCAGACAGTGTTTTCTAAAAAAAAAAAAATCTTATTAGTTAAGATGTTATAATTGTCAAGATACCATTGCATTATGCAGACTATAAGCAGGGCTATATGCATCTAAAATCATAAAAACCTCACTGCTGAAAGGCAACCTGTGACAGAATAATATGCATAGTCACATATACAAATATTCAACCTCTGATATCAGATCTCAAAATCTACTGGGGGGAAGTTTGGGATTTCTCATTTGTAAGATACTGTTAAGAAGACAATTAAAAAATTCTATACTATATGAACATTTAAAATTACATGTCTTGGTTTACCAATCTTTCACTACTACTTTGCATTCTGTATAAGCAATCTATCCTTACAAACAATGTTGAAATCACCTCAAAGAGAATTCAACTTTCCAGATAGAATATTAAGCATAGGGAAAAAAAAAAGGTTGAACCCCTCTCTCAGGTGAATTAGTGGAAGGAATACCCTTGATTTTAATTTGGGTACATTTTAACTGTTTAGTTCAACTTCTGAAGTTCTTTCTCAGCTCAAATTTTCACTTTTCTTTTTTTTCTGTCAAAAAAAGATACATTTGTTCTAACTATTATGTATTTGACTGAATTTTAGTTGCTTTTGGTGACTATTTGGTCAGGCAGCTCAGAGCCAAATGCAGCCCAGAGACAAAGCAGGAGGTATATGGTCACCAGCATCAAGAAATGCAGTCCAGAAACCTCTGCTTGGCAGCATTAGAAACTGTTTAGCCATGCAGCTAACTGCATATTTGCTTTTGTCCTGTACCTAGGAGTTTCTGATTTCCAAAGTCCTAATTCAGGTTTAATCCAATTTTGGCAGACGGATTCACGTCTCAGACCAAGGTCCTGCCACAGGTCAGCTCTAAAGCACATCCACACCTTCCTCCTCTCAACGCACCAGCTCAAAAGCCTAGCACACTCTGCTAAGTTCAGATTTTCCTGGAGGTCGGTGGAGTTGAGGCCTTTTTGTTCAAGAATGGTCCTGGTTTCTTCAAGACCCACAAATTTTATTTTCCTTGATTATTTGGTGTTTTGTTTTGGTTTTTTTTAAATACAGCTTATTCACTGAACCCTAAGACTTGTGGACCATGAAGTGGTCCAAAATCATTTCAGCTGTCAGTGATGGTGTTGTGTTGCAGCTGTGCCTTTGTGCTATGGCCAGATCCTGACTCTACACTAGCCAGGGTTATCCTAAGACAAGTGATCAGAAAGGGGGAAATCCTGAGCACCAGCCAGTAGCCAGTATCCATCTACTAAAATACATAAACAATATCTGCAGCAAGGACTGGATTCTAGCTTTATTACCAACCTGCAGCACTAGTCACCTGCAGCACTGTAGTATATACTACAGAGTATTTTGTTCCTCCTAACCTCATTCTGCTTTTCAACTGATTATTAAAGTACAGGTAGGCCCTTTTCACAGAGCAAGTTGAGAACATCCCCACACAGAACAACATCCTAGCTGTGGACATGACACTTCTGGAAAGTTTTCACTTACTGTCAGCTCAACACAGGCTTGGCTTGTTTGAGGGCAAGGGCTGTGGTCCTGGCCCACACCTTGCAGTTGCAACAGCTCCCAGGACACCTTTACTATTTCACCATATACCAAGGACTGTCATGGCAAATGAACATTATGCATTGGGATGCAAGTTAGCTGAGGTTCAGGCTTGTGGTCTGAGATGCACAGTGTATGTGGCAATGGCTGGATTAATTATGCTAAGTTTTAAGAAAACTGTAATTCAAATGTTACTGCTAATGACACTTTCCCTTTAAAACCATCAGAGCATCAAAACTGAATGGTGCAATCAATACTCATTGACAATGCTGTATTTTATTCATTATCTGCATACTGACAGATGCAAAAAAAAAATTAGGCTGTCTGCAAGTTACCTCAATTCTTTGCTAAGTTTTGTGCTGGTTTTTTTCCTCTGTGGGGACATAAACATTTGATTTGAAATGGTCAGTGAAAAAACCCATTGTTAAAATTACTAATACATTCATATTTACCTGTTGCTCTGTTTTATTTAAAGAAAACAATACAAATAACAAACAAGTTACTAATAAATTTCGATTTGAAAGAAGCTGAACCTAATATACAAAGAATGTTTACTAATGTTCTGTAAGGCCATTTGACTAAGCAATTAGAAAGTCAGAAGCCACTGTATTTGAGATTTTTTTTTATCAAATACATATTTAGAAAATTTTTGCAGCAATTTCTTACATAATTTATTTATTTTGTGGAAACTAGAATAGGAATTTTTCTGATCTTACAGTTTATTCTTTATTAAGGCTATAATCTGAAATTACATTTATCTTCTTTGGAATTTTACTTAAAAGTAAATAAACTGAGCTTTCAGGAAATAGTATGACAGTTCTTCATGAGGACAAAAGTAAAAAGAGATGGAGATTTAGCTTAAGGCACCACAATTAGTTATTGGAATTAAATTAACGGCTTGTCACTAAAAAGCTAATTCTCTCTTTGGAACATCTGGCTGGCATTTGCTGCTACCAACATTATGTTGGTGTCATGTCATATGATAAGTAATAGAAGAAGGTAGGATTTCTAGCAGAATGAAGATCTAACTTTATTGGGCCTGTTCCTATCAGCTAGAAACAAAGGAAAACCACATAATGTATCTGTTATCCACTTTATAATTGTTTCTACCTTGAATGATATCTACATATTTTCTTACTATTTTTCTGAGACAATGTGAACTCTTAAAACCAATTGTACTCTGCAGTCATATTTTTGCTTTCACTATACTTTCCTATGCACATCCAATTACACCAGTGCAATTAAAGTTTTACTTGCTGCTCAAACAAGCAGTCACAGGATGTGTTTTCAGTGTTTTGAAGACCATGGTCTTAAATTGAAATAAAGTCGTAAAATCCAGTAACTCTTTTGCTCGCTATATGTAGTTGCCCCATATTTCAGCCATCTTTCAGGAAATTTCCCAAATTAAGTTGGAATGAATATTTCTATATTGTACACAGGGCTAATTACTACAATGAAGCTACTGTCATTGCAGAAACTTGATTTGTTTAATAAATGAATGTCATATTTTTCTCCATGTCTCACTCTTTTGTGATTTATTTGTGCATTATGCATGGTAACCTTTCAAGTGAAGCTTTCCATGATATTTCACACACTAAACTTCCAGAAATCTAGACTCAACAGTGAAAAACAAAAGAAGAAAGAGAAAGCAAACCTGATGAAAGGAAACTGTTAATCACAGAAGCACATATTTTTCTGCTTTGCTGAGTCAAATCAGTCCTTAAAGCTATCCAGATGCTGCAGTTTCAGAGGAGCAGTAGAGTAGAAAACACAAAACTACTCTGATTGTCCAAGACTGATTAAATTTAGAGGGGTTGGTGTATGCAGCAGTTGAGTTAGTGGGTTTTTTTTAAAACATGAACAGGTCTGAACCATACCAAGTTGTGCTTGGTTTTTCCTTAAGTAACTGCACTACAGTTGTAAATTCACTCTACTTATGCTTTCTGCTTGGTAGCATGCCAAAAAGGTCCCCTCTTCATTTACACTGCAATGTTCCTGTTTCCTTCTGCTCTGCCTCAGTAACTTCAGAACTTGCTGTCTAGGTACACACACAACCACAGATGCATATAACTACACCCTTTACAGAAAAACATCTGTCTCCAAGGTAAAAATAGAACAGATTGATGGGATCAGTATTAAAATGGTTCCCTCTAATGGGTTAAAGACTCCCATCTGTTCCATATACTAAAATGTGGTTGAAGCCTGCAAGAAAAAAAAAAGATCAATACAAATTTATGTGCTCTTCATAAGCATTAAATTAAGAGCAAAAGAAATGCAGGGTTCTGTGGAAGGGATGCTCATGATGCTCCACTGAGGCTTATAAAGCTAACTGAGCACAAAATTATGTAATTATGGTGTTAAATAAGACTTCTAGAGTAAAGTACCTAGAGGATAAAAAAAAAAAAGATGTTTGCTACAACCTTGTCAATTGAAAAAGTCTTTCCAAAAGGAAGTCTGCACCATCAGTCTACCTGTCAGGGAGCAGCCACCCCCTCGCTTTCTCCCTTTCTGCCTTTCCAGTTTCTCTTTGTAATCCTTCGGCATTTCCAACTGCCCCTGTGTGTTTCCCCAGATCTTTACTTCATCAAGGTATAATCTTTTGGTGCAGAGTCAAAGGTTTGCTATTTTCCCCTTTGGGCCTTTTGACCTCTTTCAAAGATGCTTTTATAGTGCTAATGATTTATTCTCTCCTCCTGCTGTTAAGTCAGACAGTTCCTTCTGAACTGCAAAGCAAAAATGGTATGTATTGAGTCTATTGACATGTAAAAAAATTATCAAGCAAACGAACTAAAAAAAGCTTCAGCTTCTGCTGAACCAAACCAAAGTTAATTAAAAAGGGACACCATAGCCACTTCTTGTACGTTATTAAAAAAAAATGTAGTCACGGCTGCATTTTGCAAAATGTCTTTGGGAACATACTATCAGTTTAATAAAAAAGCTTGTTAGATAAAGCCCTTTGGAGGAATACAGGCAGAATAATGACTCTTTTCCATCTCCCAGCTGGTCACCTCTGAAGTCTCTGTCCTGATGAGCCCAGACAGTAATGCAGATGTGAAGAATTGACAGGCAGCACAGCAGCCATGGCAGATCACTAGGTAGTGCAACAGGATTTTCAGGGTCTAAATGCATTCTCAATCTGCCTCTACTCAGTAAAAAAAGTATGCTGTACTGCAATAGTCTTTCTTGCCAATGAGTCAGAAGTACTTTTATGAATATAGCTTCACATAGTGCTCCTAAGTGTCAAGGGCATAAATAGAATTTTAAATATTAATATGTATAATTAGAATGTTTTCAGGAGTCAGTATATTCCTTGGTTTTACATAACTACATAACACAAAAGGACTACATTTCATGTGAAGTCACAGCAACAAACTTGGAAAAAAACATTCCTTTTTGGAGATCATATAAATTTAGAGACAGGTTTTATTTTCTGTTTCTTAGCAAGTTGCTGATAAATTGCACCAGCCTTTACTGTAGTCTAGTTACCTTTGACACTGAAGAGTGACACACATTAAAATCAACAAAGTAAGCATCAACTATGCATCTACAATTTGGATGTGAAGGAAGACAGCTTCTGTAAATTTGGAACAAAGCAGTGCTTAGTTGTCATTTGTTGCAGTTTGGTGAATTTTTAAAGTTGATGCTGCCTACAGAGGTAGCAGAATGGCTGTGGCTTGATTTGTACCAAGACCTTTTTTAAAAGCAGGCTTAGGGCTTTTCAATGGAATCAATTTCTTTTCCCCTTATTTGCTTTGCAAGAAAGTACTAGGGAGAGTTATCTATTCTTCCAGGTTTTCAGATTGCAGAGGAAAAAAAAATAAATGTATATATATATATATCCAGCTCCAATAAAATCCCTAGAGTTATTCCTGCAAACAATCTACATTAAATGTGTAGAAGTTAGAGGAAGAATTCACAAAGAGTGTGAAATAAGTAACACAAAACCTCTAAGGACATCAGAAAAACACTCTTGGTAAGCCTCAGTGTCCAGAAGTCTTTCATCCTTTCAGATGCTCCACATGTATGAGATTCAGTCTGGCTAAGAATCACCATTACTTGTATGAGAAGAAGGTTTTCCAGCATTTCTTAGGTGTACACTAGTATCCTATGGTCATAGGCAGTCTAAGGTTTTTCTGCTGCAAAAGATGACAAGTGAATGAGTCCTGGAGACAGAGGCACAGGGAAGAGTGGAAAGTTTCCATATGGTATAATGAGCCATTACAGGTGTCAGTATTTCCACTACAAGCAATGATTCAGAGCCAAAGGAGATAACTGCAAAACATAAAATCAAAATCAAATTACAAGGTGAATATAATTTGTTTCTTGGTATGCACGTAATTGTCACATTCTGCTTTAGTGGGAGGATTCCTTGAATCAAGGAATCCAGACTCTACATTGGGATTATTTAAAACCTTGAGTAAGTTTTGATGTTTACAGATCTTTGACCATGTTCAGAAAAGCTTTCTATGTGTTTATTTAAGTTTATAAAACTTGGGGAAGAGGCCGGGCAAGGTAACTGCATAGTATGGAGGCAACCCTCCCCACTCATAAGCAAAGGACATTGGCTTTCATTTTGAGATGAAATCCAATGCCAGGAACAAGAAGTTCCTGTAACTCTGCTAGTAGGTGCAATCAGAATGGAATATCATTTTCTGAACTCAAATAAGCTTGGCACTATTGTCAGTCTCCTTGCAATCCTTGTCCATTAATTCTGGTAAAGCTGTTCCCATAGCTGAAATCCTATATCCCTAGCCTTGTTCAGATCTTCTCAGCTGGGCAAGATCTGAGCTAAAACCTTGAATCAGGTTAGCAAGCTGCACACCAGCCCAGCAGAGAAGATTTGAGTGCTGCATCCAAGCAGGCTCTTCCTGAAAGCACCACAACTCATTCAACCTGAATTAAAGGTCTTCCTCCTTCCAGGAAGGCTGTTTTATATGCATGCATCTACCTGCTTGTATTGTTAAGTTTTAGGAATATTCCAACTCCTTTTGTTAGGTCTTGTCACCCCACTACAATTACTGAATAATAACAGAGTTATGAGGTGCTAAACAAGCTGTTTTGCATACTAGCCTCAGGAGTGCTGCACAGACTAGTCCTTGGCTGCCTGGTTCTCTTGTGCTTCTACTTGAGCTCCTCCCCATTCCCTCTCAACAGAGCTGAACTCAGCTCTCTGCACAGTATTTTCACTACAGTTTGCCTCTTTGCCCCTTCCCAGCCTTGTGGCAGCAATCTTCCTTTTCCTTGTGAAGCCATCAGCAGAGCTGGTGCACAAGAAGGGAAATGTATGGGTGGGTGAGAGGGATAGCTAATGGGGATGCATCAATTGCAATGCTTTAGGTCACTGATGGAGATGGACAAAGTCCTGCTGTCATTCTGCTCCACCATGGGGAGTTTCTATCGGGATGTGCCTATGGCCCCTCTCACCATCCAAATTAGATAGAGGGGTGACTGAGACTAAAAAAGGGCATGACTGTCCCAAGTTATGCATCTGAAACTGTGCAGATTCCTTGGTTAAAAGGTCTAATAATACTGACATACTATACCATTTTTATCACACTCGATGCTGAGAGTATCCTTCTTCATTAACAAAGGACAGTTTTAAAGTCTCATCAGTCCTTGATCCAGAAGGGACCATTAATCTTGCAGTCTAAATCCTGGGACTAGCACTTCACCTAATGTACTCCATATTATCCCTGAACTTTGGCTGAATCTGAATGAAGTATTTCAGAAACATGTCCAGCCAGGTTTCTTAAACTTCTCACAATGGGAATACACCACATCTATCTTGAATTGCTTCAGGAGATAGGCATATTCACCACTTAAAATATCTACAAGTTGTTTAAAATCTTTATTCACCTACCTATGTTCCCAGTCTTGAGTTTTCTGTTGTTACATTAAAGAGCTGTTGGTTTTCTGAAGCTTTTCTTACATCTAGATGTCTGTAGGCAATGAGGAAATCACATCTGCAACATGAGTAGTTTAAAGTAATTGGTTCAGGTTTCTACCTGTTTTTCAGGTTTTTGTCTGTTTTCCAGATGACAGCTTAGAATCTTTCAAAACTTTTTCAACTTTTTCAGAAGAATTCTCAAAATTAGGACCTCAGAGCTGAAGTGCTCCCGTGATGGCCTTGCTAGCGGTGACACAGACGGCCCTGCCTCTCCTCCTACCCATGCCTTTGCTGATACCTCCCTGGGTCACATTAGCTCTTTGGCTAAACATCTCAATGGAAATGCTCATCCTGCTAGTTGTGTACCTTTCTTTTAAGATCTTTTCGACGTCAGCATAACGGTATCCTATCTCAAAAGCGGGACCCACATTCTATGTTTCAAAATCCAGTCTTCAATTCAGTTGTCTTTAAAAGCCCACAACTCAGATCAACTCACTTTACAGAATAATCCAGTTTACTAAATATGATTAGCTTGTCACCTCTCTTTATTTACTTATCCAATAGATTGAGGTCATCTGCAAATTTTTCAAGCATTGATTTTCTACTTTCTCCCAGCTGATTGATACAGTTACAAAGAATGCCTTTAATTTACTCACAATGTAAATGTAATCTCCTGTGAGATAAAGGTTCTGAATCTTAGTGAAAGAAGAAACATGGAAGTAACTCTTTCTTCATTAAGAATGTCTTTTCCGGTTATTGTTGCCAGACATTTTTATCTTGAGCCCAAATTGCAACAGAACTCATCTGCAAAACTCGGTAGTTTGGCAACAGCATCTGAAATAAAATGGATTAACTATGACATTCACCTTGCAGGCTACTGAGGGTCTTTTTCTATCACTGCTGAGTTTTCATTCAATAAGACAAACCACATTTACAGAGAAGATTTGCAGGAAGAAAGACTGACATCTATCTGTAATCCGAACCAGCATTTTGATGCTCAGTGCACATGAGAGAGGATCCACAAAGAATAGAGCACATCCTTTTGCTTATGCTTCGTACAGACCCTCCCATTCAGACACTTATGGCATCAGAACCTTTTAAATTTTCAGTACCTCCACCCCCCACGCATAACTCCTCTACCACAGTCCCTCATTCGGAAATAGCTTTTTGTCTTCACAAGCTACATCTTCTTATTCTTTCTCTAAGTAAGAAAATGCCAGTTTCAAATCAGCAGCTCAATTCCATCTTCTTTAAACATAATGAAAACTTTCCAGATAGTGCAGTAGATCCAAGATGAAATTCCTGAGATACTTAACTCTTAATTGTAATTTTCCAAATGTATGTTTATAAAGTGTGTACAAAGTTCAAAGTTTCAAAGTTGATTGCTCAAGCAGGACAATTTTAATGTCTCTGGTCCCAGGCAGAGCTCCTCATGAGACTTTCACAAGTTTAAAGCAGGAAAAATATACAGACAAATTCAGTCAGCTAATCTGTCATTCTTACTGTTGTGTTCAAGTGGTACACAGAAAAGTGGAAAAGCGTTTGACCAGATCGAATGGATCAGCTCCAAAAGCAACAAGTCACTGCCGCCTTTCACACCCAGACTCACAGAGCTAAATGTGCTGACCACTGAAGGGCAGCCCAAAAGTGATCAGCCCTTGAAAAAATCCTCTTTCAGTCTGCCATATTTGTCCATGGGGCAAGTCAGCATCTGTTGGATTATCCTGAAAGTAAAACTAAAATCATGGCAATGATTGAGGCATGTTGATGCAGAAACACATGGTTCTTTCCTGAAGGGAAAAAACACACTCCAAACTTATAAAACAAGTAAGCTGCTTCTCTCATGGACTTGCAAAAAGAGGAATAGAGGGGCCAAAAGAAACTTCAGCAGATGTTCAGTGCCATGAAGAGATAGATCGTGAGACAGTTTATTTCTGCTAGAAGAATATACTCTACACTACACAGCAGAATCGCAGTATGCTACTATTCACCATCAAAAGTAATCAGCTAGTCCATCAAAACCCAGCATGGTTCTGTATTTTACTCCTCTTCCCTGAGCTGAGTGTATCCAAAACATTTTCTTTCCTCCCTGACTAAGTTTTGCATAAATAGTCACAAAAGACCTGAGGAAAAATATGAAAAGTTATAGAAACGTTTTAAGCAAATAAAACAGTGAAATGGATGATCCTTGCAGTGAATAGCAGGGAGGTTAGAATGAAGATGGAATGCAAAAATTACTGGAATACAGGCAAACAGAAGGAAATATTTCTGATTAAAAAGTGAAAAGGACTCTGAGTAGCACACATAGTAATAAAACCATTTATAGATTATGTGGTGGTTTGGGCTAGGCCTTCCTTGGTGACCAGTTTGTAACCAAGGAAGGGTCCAGATTTACCCAGTATTCCCTACGATTTTTACGTAAGCCAGACTATAAGAAGAGAGGAGGAGAGGCCTTCGTTCTCTTTTCCTTCCGGCGGCTTGGAGGTGCAGGTTCCCTGCTGTTGAGTCTGCCGTGTTGGGGAGCGAGGCCTGGTTAGGCCTTGCCGACCTTGGGAGACAGAGGTTGCCGGCGATCGTTCCGGAGCGACTTTCGGTTGTCCCAGGAGAGTAGTGAGATATCTTCTTTGCTAACTCTTTTGTTCTTTAGTTACTAGATCTCGGGCTACTGATTGGGATATATATATATATATATTTTTTATTTTAGTTTTGTTCCTTTTACCCTTCCCCTTTCCCTTTCCCTTGTGAAATTGTATATAAGTGTAAATATATTTATATATATCAGTTTGGTTGTCCTCTCTCTCGTTTTCGGGTTTTTCTTAGTTTTTTCTCCCTCTTCTCCCTGAGGTTTTTTTTTTTGTTGGGGGGGGGGACTTCTGGTGGTAAAGTTTGGAGACTTGGCAGGGAGCCAGCTTCAAACCATATCAGATTACTAAGAAAACATTCCCTGACCATCTATCATTTTGTGGGTGCAAAATTTGGAATCTCTGCAGCAAAACCTTAAGGGGGCAGAGTTCAACCTCTTTCTAGTTGAATGCAGTGTCAAAGTACCACATGTTCTTGTCCTAAGTTGCTGGGAAAGCAAGCTTTCTCTCTTCCAAGAGAAAGAATGGTTCATTCATGGTTGGTAAAGCTCTATTTTGAAATCCTATAATTAAAGTAAATAAGTAATAGTTTCTTAGTCTTGTATTTCTGCTCTTCTGGCATTTATTATAGATTTGTATTTGGAGTGAAAAGTGGGGCTTGGGTTGGCATATTTTTAAGATCATTATTTTACACCGTCTTGTCTCTGCAACACATGATAGCTCTGGTCTTCAGTAGTCTTATGTTACTATCACACATATGTTCAGACAGTGATAGAAAATTGCCAGGTTGTGTGTGGGAAAGAGGGTTAAGCCACTCATTACCCTACATAGCAGGAGATAAAATTTATAATCTGGAGTTGCTAAGATCACTAGATGTTCTAAACATAAAGCATAGGTTCCTCCATTTCTCCTAGAGATAATTTGATTTTTACATATATGAGTGGGAATTGTGGGAACTCCATTTGTACATCAAGCATAGGATTTGGTCAGCCAACCTCATCTCCCTTGCTTAACTTTGAGAAATCACCTGTGATTAAGACCTATTTTTACACAGAGATGTGGGAGCCGCTGTTTATGATCTTGCTTTGAAGCAACTCCATTTCCAGCATGAGTTTCTGCCTCAAAGGTGTTGTAGCAATTGCAAGTGCCAGAAGTTTGAGCTGACACAGAAAAAAAATTCATTAAGTAATTTTTTCATTTTTTAATCTGTCATAGATGAGAATAGCAATAATACATTTGCTGAATACTACATAGCTGAGACATTCTTCTCTCAACTGCTTTACTACAAAAAGGTTGAAAGCAAGTTAAAGAAAGAATACATACTAACAGAGAAATGTTTTAATCAGAGATTGCAAAACAAAACAGAATGCCAGATGAACCAGGTCTTGTTTATCTGTAAGGGCCATAGTTATGCCATTAGCTTTTCCTCAGCACAATTTGTTCAGGGCAGTGGGAAGTTTCATGTAAAAAAATCAATGGTTCGATCTGGTCCTGTAAACATCAGATAGTGTAGCCATCTAAAGCATTCTGGCAGACTCAGGACAAGATGGATCAGATTCTTTCTTTGAAATTTGCTCTCTGAAAGTAGAAAAATGACCAGAGGATGGCATATTAAAAAGATCGCAGTCTTAAAAAAAACAGTTGCCTACGATGATTAGAAAAATCAAGTAAATTGTTTACTTTTTCCTAATGCAAAGTGATAGCCACTCCCCAGTGTAATTTGTATCATCCACACCCAAAGAATCATCAAGTAAAACAGCTACTGTGATGTACACAACTTCCACAGCACAGATGTGCTGCCTCCTAGTAACACCCCACCATGGCAGCTCTTTGCAAGCAAATGTCAACCCTCTGGCTTCCTTTACGGGCCCTTCCTAAGGAACTCAGGCAGATCATCATATGAGCAGGTATAGACTGCAGGGTAGAAAAAGAGACCATGGCACTGATTTGAGTGCTTGAGCACTGACTATCCCTCCACTCTTACTGAAAGGTGGAAACCCCTCAAGAAGTCACTGATTGCTCTAGGGGCGTTATGAGAGCTCTGGACATCTCTGTGTGACATCCTCTGATACCAGTAACAAGGTGCAGGAAGTGTTAAGTCTCAGTTAAACTCACATTTAGGTGGAAAAGAGGGTGATGACCCTAGCTCTAGTGTGATTGGCTTATCAAATCTTCTAAGAGATAAATCCTTTTAAAACTGTGATCCTTCCCCTATAGCCTGTAGATGATAAGTGGTCCTCTGCCTGTGACATCCTCATTGTCTAAGATGTTCTATATAGTTCCTTCAAATTTATTTATATAGAGGTAATGGATTACAACTCTGTAGCCACTCTCCCCCTTCTATTTCTATTTATTTTCTAAACATGTAATAAAGTACATTTCCAATTTAATTAAGAAAAAAAAGGGAAGGAAAAAATTATTGTTGCTCAAACTGCATAGCACATTACTGCATTATTTATGTGCTCACAGCAAACTGCAGATTCATTTATAAATGGCACACACAGTGGCATTTTTCTGATAATACAAAACTTCAGGATGTGACTCACAATTAAGTCATGGCTCATAGACATAAGAGAAATGCTTAAATGCCTTCTCTGGTGCTCAGAAATGTGCTACAGTCATGGTGCTCAGTGCACCAACAATGTCATATAGTTTGCAGCCAAACAGGAGGACTGTAGAGTGCCTGAAACAGCAGCTGTACTCTCTTCTCACTCTGGGCAATGGAAGAGGAATCTTCCAAAATAGCATTGCCCTCCAGGCTACTGTATCCAGAGGTCAATCCAAAATCATGAACTTAGGGCCATTACATCTTTTATTTTGGCCATGTCAGTCACTTACTTGAATACTCCGTGAAGATATTGCCCAAAATCAGTTGTGACTCAAAGCCATATATGGTTTAGATGTCCATGGGAATTCTGTGTAGGGGATGAACAAGTAAGAAGAGTGAGATTTGACCCTTTATGGGGTAAAAGAGTGAAGCAGAGATGAGTCAGCCTGTAAGGAACTGATACAACTCTGCATTCAAGGTCACCATAATGAAATTACAGTGTACATTTGAAAGTAATCAGAAGGCCACTCCAATGTTCATTTGGCACAAGACGCTCTCTTATCAAAAGAATCAAATTTTGAGAGCCCTAAATAGACTTCTCACATTTCTGTGCAGCTCCAGTTTAATCCTCTAAATTGGTCATGCTTGCCCTAAAATGGCAAATGTAATCAAATAAATTAAGATTATTCTCTAATGTAATTTACCAAAAACCAAGTTCCATGACAGCTTCTGCACTACAAGAGTATCAACTACACATAGTATCTTCTGAACCTGCATGTGACTTTGAATTACTGTCTTGACATTAAAAATGGGAAAAGGAAATTCATACTGATTTGTAAATTAAATATGAAATAGCACAAAAAAATATAATGCCTGCCTATCTATGGAATACTTTTACTAGACAATATTAATATAAATGTAAGTGTATAGAGGCAGAAAATAGACAAGAGGCTGGGAATTTTTTTTACAAAGAGGCAATTTAGTACTAAGTAACTTCAACCTGCTAAATTTCTTTATTTGCCATGGTGCAAACATAGGAATTGTCATACCACTGAAAACTACAGGCCCATTTAGCACACAGCTGCAGATTAAGCTGTTTAGATGTACTTTCCAACCAGCTGCTGACATGCTGTATCCTATCAAGGCACCATCCATGGCAGAAGACTACACGCACACAACAGATTCAACACAAGTAGTTGAACTTATTGCTTTTTCCTTCACATCCAGCCTAAACAATTTCTCAGGTTATCTGAAGGCAGCATTATGGACAGTATAATCCACTTACACAATACCCTGATATGATAAAAATGAAATGTTCTCTGTAGCAGTGGACTAAGAAACTGCTCTGGCTTTCTACCCTGCACCTTGGTACCACCAATGTAGGTATGGAGCATCAATATCTACATCCAAGCTCCTCTCCTTTCACAGTCAGTGGAAAGAAACAAAAGCTCAGGACTCATCTCTTCTTAGAGACATCTCCTCAGGCTTTTCTCAGAGGTGAGCAGTGTCCAGCAAGAGACTGGACTAGCTGACTTCCAGAAGTCCCTTTCCACCCATTTTTTTCTATAACTGTGTAAAACCCAAGTGTCTATTTCTCACCACAAAAGTATTTTGTTCCAGGAATACATGGTGAACTACTGCAACTCCACAGCCAACACTAACGAAAAATGTGATGTCCTGCTAAGAAAATTAGACAAAACCTTTTTTTGCTGCTAGTAGGAGGCAGTATATCACAAGCCATTACATTTTCCACAGTAGTGAAGCACTGAATTGCTCCATCTATCATGGGACATCACACACAAGAATACCTAGTCCTACAGAAGGCTTTCCATGTTGTGGAAACACTCTTCTAGACTGGACATTTAATGGGGAGCCGGGTGAAAGAGAGGAGCACAGAAGTTACATGCACATGCCGGTTATTTTTCTAAACATCCCATATTGTACTTTCTTCAGAAGGACAGGTCTTTCCTGCATAGGAGCTGTAATAATTAAGCCTGTAGATCTGAACTAGAACTGCATAAGGTAAATATCTGCCTGATTTGATCTTCTGAAATCTAAAATACATTATTAATCTCATTTAGACCTTAATTATATAGGTCTGAGTCATCTTCAGCTCCTTATGCTTTACATAACAAGAGAGAGGCACAAAGAAATGGTGGCTTTACTTGCTGTTGTGGTTTAACCCCAGTCAGCAGCTCAGCCCACATCTCTGCTGTGGGTTGGATAAGAGAATCAGAAGAGCAAAAAAAGAGAAAACTCATGAATTGTGATAAAGATAGTTTAGAAGGGAGCCTTCCCTGAAGATTTTGTGTCTTCCTTGGGTAGTGAAGAGATGAAGAAAAAGCTATACATCTAAAATGAGTACAAAGGAACACCAGTTGATGACTCTGAAGGTGTCCTGCACACATTAACTGACCTATCAGGTATAGTCACTCTGAAAGCAAGTGCCTTCATTGCGAAACCTGTAACAGAAAAGACAAATTCCCTCTTCAAATTAATTTGAATTTAGTCATGTTTGACTTATGTTTTAGGTAGTATTCTGCATGCAGATGTGAAAAGAATAAGATTACTGTTACTTAAGACTAGGTATCTGCATGTTTAAGCCTCAGCTTAGCATTGCTTATTATGTCGTTCCCTGGAATATGCTTATATAAAGAAATGGATTGGGTTTTTTTGTTTGTTTGGTTTGGGGTTTTTTTTTGAGTAATGCTGCTTTGACTTTCCAGTTTGGCACTTTATTTCAGAAAAATGACACTTCACTTTCACTGATCTCTTTTTGTAAGGATGCCAATAAAACAAACAGACAAACAAATGTGCATTACATCTCAAATGCAAACACATTTTACCCCTGTGACTTTCTTGTCTGGAGATAGAAAGTCCTGGGGGAAACCTAATAGCAATCTTCCAATAGTTAAGGGAAGACAACTGAGAGAGAGCCAGGTCTTTTAATGAGGGAATGTGGAAAAACAACAGACAGTAGTCACAAACAGAAATAGGGAAGGATCCAGCTGGATATAAGGGAAAAAACCTAAAAAACTACAATGACATTTCAAGCTTTCAGTCACTACAGAATACCATGTTTGAATGCCCTAATGACAAAGAGGTCTTGAAATTCTCATACAGGTAGAGGTGTTTTCTGGCTGACCAATAGTTGAAAACCATGTATTCTCTTTCTCCATTGATGGATCTTCTCTTAGGAAGGTTCAAAACATATCACAAGAATTTATTATTATATTTAGAAATGTGTGATGACTTTTTTCTGCTAAGAAGAAGAAGAAGAAGAAAACTATTGTTTCCACAATACAATTACTCTTCCTTTAAAGGGAAAATCCCATATAAAATAAAGCCTGCTCTGGAACCCAGTTAACTTGATGACAAAAATGCCTTCACTCCATGAGTAAATGCCTACGGCAGTACAGCAGACTTTCTGCTATTTTTATTGATTTTGGGCTTTGCTGTGCACTGTCTAGCTTGCACACAGAGGCAGCATTTCACTTTATCTTTTCTCTGTGCTAATCTAGTGGAAGCCATTGTACAAATTAGAACTGAGCTCCTTAAGATTAAGATTCATAGTTATGGGCTTTGTCAGTGTCTTTAAGTAATTTAATAATGCAGTGTATCTGTTGGATTGAATGGACAGTGTTCAGATAAGTTCAGCTTTTGAAGATAGACGAGACTAATTTCTCCAGTGAAGACCACATGTTGCACAGAAAAAAGGAAAGAAAAAAAGGAAAGAAAAGAGAAGGGGAAAAAAAATTCATAAATGATTCAGAAGTCAAAAATTTGAGAAGAGATGTGAGAGGGCATTACCATGAGGGAAGTTTATTTTCCATTCCATTCCTTTAAAAAATCCTAGTAATTGAAAGATATATTTCCTTTTCTTCTTTTTTTTCCTAATCTATCTCTTCCACTTACCTGAAAGCACATAATATTTCTTTTGTGTTCCTTTACTGGCAGCAAAGAGCAAAGGAGGACAAATGGAGCACTCAGCACTATCCCCCAGCATAGTTCATAGGAAGTTTTGTTACACCAAGACTGGCCCAAGAGAAGAGTCATAACTTGGAGGCCCAGCATTCCAATAGTAGTATTTTGACCTTTCCCATCTTCCACACCTTTGGTAAGAGATAGTACAGAAAAAATTGTCAAAGGTCTATAGGAAGATGCCTTCTCACATGCCTTCTCACGTGCATGACCGACTCCTTGTTAATCAAGATTCTGATTTTCTTATAACAACCCCACCAGTTCAGAAAATTAAACACTCTAAAAAATCCTGATACTAACACAGTTATTATGAGCACTGCAAAGAAAACATTTAAGTCAAAATAGGGGTTTAAAACAAAACTAATCATAGCTTGTGGGAAAAGGCATTGTAAATGCATTAGCAACCATTTAACCACTCACTAATTTCAGTGTGTTCAAATGGCTGCTGCATTTAAAGCTGTCGAAAGTTTTCATTGATTAGGCTGCTTATCCACAGTTATCTGAAGTATTTTGTACAGTCACAAAGAAGTAAAACAAATGACACTGTGTTAGACAACCGGTTCCTTGCATTTCTGGGGCCAGGTGGTGAAGTTTCCAAATATTTTATACTTGTGTTTTGTTTCACACACTCCACTGAACAACCATGCCTGTGACTCTCCAACCAGGAAGCCAGAAAAGTGCATGGCCAAGAGTGTGGGAATTTTCTGTCTTTCACCTTGGTGCCTCTAGTTTTTTGCTTTATAAATAAAACATAATATTGTCACCGTTTTTTTCTGGAACATTTTAAATATTATGAGCCTCATCTACAGGCAACTAATTCTACAGACCACATATTCTACTCTGGCTTCATTGAGGTCAATAGCAAAGTGCCTGTCTATTTCCAAAAGGGCAGATTTTTCTCTCATTGACTTGAACAACAGATCAGGCCCTGTTGCTAAGCCAGAATTTAACAATTATTATTATTTTAAACTCTATAAGTATTTACTTGAAGCACAAAACCACTTGTCATGTCAATCCTACCTCATCAGTGGATAAGCACAGGCCTAACACCTATGGCTGTTGGCAGAGTCTGGTCCAGTATTTCAGGTGGGTCTGTTCACAAGCTGCAGGTGAGTGTTTGGGCAGCATACCTGTCACACATTCCAGAGTAGATGTAATAGACAGCAGACAGTGCTTTCTTGAACTGACATCTTAAAGTTGCAAGCATTCAGTTGCTGCTTAAACACTCAGAAAACAGCTCTTCTCGAAAGTTTTGCCAATTTTTTATTATCTTTTTAGACTATATTTCAGCACCAGCACATGGCAAAATTCTTGCAGCAATTAAAAGGATCTTGGATGATCATGGAATAGGTATAACTATAACTATATTCTTGTATGTCCACTGAGGCTCCACAAAGTTCTGTGTCATGTCACACAACTTCATTTTAGACAAGTGAAAGTACACCATTCTGATTTTAACAATATATGGCATTTATTGACTTATCATAAATGAAGATGAGTTTGTCCCTGTCAGGCTAGAACAAATATAAAGAATGACATTGCTCACCATTTATCACCATGAGAAATGTTATAGATGATATAAACTATTTTCATAATGATTCATTGTGCTAATTTAATTATTAATTATTCCCACTTCCTTTTACAGGAACAAAATACCAGCTTTCTGGCAATGAGTAGAGAAATAATAAATTGTGGCAATAATTTGAATAAGAACACACTAAAATCTTGGCCAGCATTTCTAAGCCCAGATATCTACAAGTGGATAAAGTCATATCTGACACCTCTGCAGAGGTACAGGAAGAACCTGCACTTCCTCTTTACTCCATTGGCTTTTGGTAAAAAATCAGCATGCCTGAAAATTAGGCCTTTTTGTATGCAAGTATCATCTCAGATATAAGTGACTGATTTTAGGAATATGATTATAGCATATTTCTTCTCCTCTCACTGGAAGACAAGTTCCTGTCTGGACAATACCAAGGTTTCTGTAGCATCTTTAGGCCTAGTCTTCAGAGTCTTGGGTAACATATTGGTTGTTTATCCTTTGGAGATAGGCTAGAAATGCCACAATTCTTCAGACTGGAACACGTATCTCTGGGAGGAGGGTGGTCAGATGGGATAAAAAGTCATGAAAAACATGGAAAAATAAATAGAAAATACTTATTTCCTATTTCTTTTAACAAAAGAACTATGACATGTTCATTAAATGTTCAAACATGAGGTTTCAAACGAAGACATTGGTTACAATGAAATTGGTTGTTTAATCTGGAGAAGAGGAAGCTCAGGGGGAGACCTCATCACTCTCTACAAGCACCTGAAAGGAGGTTGTAGCCAGGTGGGCATCAGTCTCTTCTCCCAGGCAGCTATCAGTAAGACAAGAGGGCATGGTCTTAAGCTGTGCCAGGGGAGGTTTAGGTTAGATACTAGGAAGAAATTCTTTACAGAGAGGGTAATCAGGCATTGGAATGGGTTGCCCAGGGAAGTGATAGATTCTCCATCCCTGGAGGTTTTTGAGATGAGACTGGATGTGGCACTTAGTGCCATGGTCTAGTAACCGCGTAGTTACCGGTATTGGATCAAGGGTTGGACTTGATGATCTCAGAGGTCCTTTCCAACCCGGCTGATTCTATGATTCTATGAATTTGGCACAGTACATAAATGTATTTTGACTGCCAAATAAAATTAAGTAGGAGCAAAACCAGTTGAACTAGTTGAAGAAATTTTAATCCACTGGGAGATTTTAAATACCAACAGCCTTCAGACCAAGAAATCCCACTATGACCTGTGCTCAGAATGTGAAAGATCATACTACAAGAGTTATAGAATCATAGAATAGTATCATATTCTGAGTTGGAAGGGACCTACAAGGATCATTGAAGTTCAACTCCTGGCCCTGCACAGGACAACCCCAAGAACCACACCATGTGCCTGAGAGTGTTGTCCAAACACTTCTTGGATTCTGTCAGGTTTCATGTTGTGAGCGCTTCCTTGGGAAGCCTGTTCCAGTGTCTGACCACTCTCTGCGTGACAAGCCATTTCCTAACATCCAACCTAAACCTCCCCTGACACAAATTCAGGCCATTCTCTCAGGTCCTGTCACTGGTCACCACAGAAAAGAGATCAGTGCCTGCCCCTCCTCTTCCCCTGACAAGGAAGTTGTACCTGCAATGAGGTCTCCTCTTCCCCAGGCTGAACAGACCAAGTGCCCTCAGCCGCTCCTCATACAGCTTTCCCTCAAGGCCCTTCACTATCTACCTTGCCCTCCTTTGGATAATCCCTAATAGCTTCATATCTTGCCTATATCGTGGTGCCCCAAACTGCACACAATATTCCATATGCTGTGCCTGATGACCCCCAGGACAGGGCTGGCCCTCCTGGCTGCCAGGGCACTGCTGACTTATATTCAACTTGCCATTGACAAAGAAAGCTTGCTGGTTCCCATCACATTTTCCTAAGAATTTCTAACTGGATATAATGGTGGAGATTTAATCATAGATATTTAGTCTGACCCAATTATTTTACTCCATCTTGAGATCAAGGACTAAAAAAAGGAAAAATGGCTAAACAAATGAAAGTGCAGGCAGTTGCAGCCTTCAGTGCTCATTGACCTCCTCATGGCCCTGAACTTTATCCTGATTTGTATGCAAAAATTTTTCATCTGAAATTTTGCAAAATGTTCCAAAATGAAATGCAATTACTTTAAAAGGATCAATAATGTTGTAAGACACCTCGCCTAAAATAAATTCTTTTTTGGAGGGAAAGAGATTTGGAATAAGCTTGCGCGTGTGTTCAGAAAATATTAAAGACGTCCCTGAATCAGATTAAGTGCTAGCTCTTTGGGGCCTAATATCTTGGCATGCTGCCAGATAGCAATCTTAGTGATTGAGTCATTTCGTATAGGGAGATGTTCCTCAGATAATGCCCAAGTGAGTCATGAGATCTAATTCCATTAAAAAGAGTCATGAGGCCCACAATATTAATTAAATTTGTGCTACTAAGCAGAGGAATGCTTAATGGAAGAGGACAAGAATAATTCATTTGGAGTCCCTTCCAATGGAACCAGAATAGAAGGAGCATTGCCCATACCTGAAATATAAATTTGTCTCTATGTGGTCTTCCAGTTATGAGCTCCATAAGTGCTGGAACAGTTACAATACCATTAGTGAGATTAGAAACATGGGGTGTGGGGTATGGAAGATGCTAGAAGGGATGGTCTGGTGCTTCCCAGAGATTGCTATCTGCCTCTCTCTCTATAAGTTAAATTCTCTTAGATACGTTCACACGACAAGATAAAACAATTTAATGACTGCTAAGTCTAGATAAACACAGACTCAGGCAGCACTTCCATTATTCAGACAGTCAGAATCCATGTTTCCTGTACTAATCAAAGAGTGGCCTTGTTTTCTCTGTCAGCTGGGTGTAACAGAGATGGAGTTTTACTCACACAACATAAGGACAGAATTGTATTCTACAGCCTGCAGCCTTTCTAAAAATGCAATTTTTGGAAGAGCTGACTCACACTTTCATGGTTTCTTTAATACTTTGACTAAACAGGTATTCAGAGATTGGCACCTGTTGAAGTCAAAATAAAGATACATTTTCAAATACTTTTGCTAGCTTTTCTGCTGTGGCCCGATAAGGAGGATTATTAATCTGCTTATTTTTTAATAATCAAATCTTTATTCTGGGGTTCTTGAGTTTAATGTATGATGGGCAAATTTCATTCTGCACCCTTCCTTTTTCCTTTCATTTGTGAGTACCCCAAAGGAAGCAAAAAAATTCCACCAACACAGTATACACTTACACCACATATAATACAGACACATATAGGATATACCACAGTAACCCACTTGACTTGCAGCCAGTCAAACCACCTGTCACATATGGCAGAAGCTCTGCTCCATCTGCACCAGCAAGCAGCACAGCACTGCACCAAGACTGTAGAGAGGTTGCTTTGGGCTGCTGTGGCTCAAGGACCCAGAAGCCCAGGAGCAGCCAGAGCTCACTGAGTGTGCTCCTGCAGCACAGCTTCCGGTGACATTCCAGCAAAAGGACTGCAGCATTCGTAGATCCCTTGAAAAGTAGTGGCCTGAGGGACAAATCTTCAGTTAGCACTTCCATCAGTTGTGAAGGGAATATTTTAGTCCCTAAACTCCTCAATTACAATGTTTGACATAATTTCTTCACTGCTTCTTTCTGTAACTAATTAAAAATATCCATCATTAAAATCTGATAAAACATTCAATTACTACTTCATACATTGTCTTGACTGAAAAGGTGGTTTAATGCCTTGACATAACTAAATTGGTTGTAAGTTCCAGACTGCTGAAGCAAGCTTCCTATAACAAGATGATATGTCTTCAAGTCATTTTTGTCTTGGCAGTTGCAGACAATGATTTCATCAAGTCTAACACAAAAATGCCCTATTTGCTTCTCAAACAAATCCTAATCTTGTAATCCAGGGGGGAAAATGAAGCATGAAAAGGTAGCACTTCAATCAATGAATTTAAAAAAGCTCCAACATACAGTCTTTATTTTGGTTCAAACCAATTACATTGTAAAAAAACCACAGAAAATAATGACAGAGATTGTTACTTAAGTCATTGATGTCTGGTGAAAAATCATCTTTAGTAATTTTAGTTTCTTCAAATTGAATTTAACTTTTACATACCACTCTGGAAAATATGCAGAGATTCATATTTTATTTTCTTTGTGCCTCTTGATATTGAGAAGACAACTGCACTGAGACACAGGCTCAACATAAAACTGAATAGTAATCCAAACTACTGATGTAAGCAGGTCTCTCCATTTATTACTTGATCACTTGGTGCTTATTTGTACAGTTGACTTCAACCTAACAAGGATAAAAATAAAAAAAGAATATATTTGCCTAAGGATGCCCAAATGTATCAGTTACCTCATGCAATTAATTACAATTGTTTGAAAAAATACTTACTGAACCAGTTAGGGACATTTACACACTATTTTATTTCTCAAATTGTTGGACTAGATCTTCAGTTCTATCTTTTCAGATAGATATTCTAGTGGCACAGAAGGTCAGAAAGCCCCTTTTGCACAAGAAAACAAACTAAATACAATCTAAAAACCTTAAGAACAATCCACCAATTCCACCCTCACTTGGGTTATTCACTGTACTCCTGCCTAAAGCTCTGTTGCACTTTTACTATGACCTTTGCAGGACATCAGAGCAGTGACCTGCCACAAACACAGCCACAATGTGCTTAAAGAAACAAGGTAGAGGCAGCAGCTGAAAATCTGGGCAAGCATCCTACAAAAATACCATCCTGAAGCTGCAGTGCTATTTTGTTCTCTCCTCCAACACGGTTCTTGCTGAACAGTAAATCATGCTAATGAATTCATAAGATAAATGGTCATTGGTCAGTCAAAGCACAACTCAATCCTTCTTGGCAATTCACAGGAAAAAAGTAACAAGAATCAAAGGGCTTAAAGATTAATAAAAATAAAAAAAATAATTAAAAATCTTGTAAGAGAAATCCCTCTAAACAACCTACACTTTGGTCTGCTCCAGCAAATTCATTTTTAAATATAAACCACCCTGTGAAATATTTTCATTGTCTCCTCACAGTCCCTTTCTGAATTTGTGCCAGCAGGGCTATTAGCAGTGATTGAAGGTGAGACAGACAAGACAAAATTCTCCAGAGAACAAGGCAAGAGACACCTTTCTGCCCTCAACCCATCAACTATAATGAATGATAGGCACAGTGCATGACAGGGACTGAAATAGGAGACTGTGACAAAGATAGGCTTAGGAGTGCTTCAGAATAATTCATTCAGTTGCATTTGGCAGCAACAGACCATAATATTTTTTGTGTAGCAACACTGTCAATGCAAAAAAATAAAACACAGAATCGCATTTGCATGCTGATTCTATTACAGTCAGAAAGAAAGGAGTGGTGAGTTAATCAAATGTTTAAGTTATATTCTCCCTCCTGTTTCCTGTTGCCCATAAGCACATAGAGCAGTATGAGACAGATGCATGGGGCTGAGCAGGGAGTAAGGCCTAATTCACAATGTATTGATTACAGCTGCTTCTCCTCTCTCCCTCAAGTGATGGTCCATGCTAGAAAAACCCACTGCTTTATTCATCAGCTGTGTTTGGAGTCTCTTTGCTGAAAGAAGAGTTGGAAACATGGTGTTGCTCTTCAAGAGAGGAAAAGGACCAGGGAGAAACTCAGAGAGAGATCCAGTCCTGATTTGAAAACCAGACTTCAAGAAGAAAAATTTCAACCCCAGCCACCACCTTACAGCTGTCATCACATCACAGTGACTGTCTGTCCATGCTTTACCTGTTGAAATCAGTGGCCCCAGGATCCCAATGCCTCTGTGTCCACACAAGCTCACAGGCACAGTGACTTGTCACAGACAGGCAGAGCTTCATTGAACTAGCCCATAGTTCCAGCCTGAATTCAAGAAAGCCATGTAACATGGTTGGTAGAGGACTTCTGTAAGGTGCAGCTACTGGGGGTGGTAGTGGCAGACCATACTGGCATCTTCAAAAGAACTCAGATATAAAAATGGACCCTGAAAGCAGGGTTACACTTTAACATCCCTAACACAGCCACTTCAGACAGCCAGGAGCCTGAGGAGAGGGAACTCTGGGAGACCAAGCACTCAGCCCAAGCCCTGGGCCCCAAGACAGGGCCCCACGACCCCTGTCCAACACAGCAGGATATTTCCTATGTTCTTTGGGTCATTCTCCATCTCTGATGGATTTAAGCTATCAGGAATACTCCAGAAATGCCTATTTCATTATGTCCGGTGCAGAAACTACACAAATTCCCTACAGTCTACCTATAGTAACCAAAGCATTCATCTAGGATATAGAAAAATAAATATAATCACTTATTCAATTATGTAAACAGGTACAGTCTTTATACAGGAGGTATAAAATGTTTTTATGGCAGAGACTGGTACAGCGAATGGGCTATGCAGGGACTTTCCTTAAAGATGGAAGATGCAGTTTTGAATTCCCATCAGACAGGAGAGGGGACTGAACTTCTGTCTATCACTTCACAGTTGACTGCCCTGAACACTGAGCTTACTGCTGGGGAGGAGGAAAGATGCTTCTTCTGGTGGTAGTATACAGCCATGACCCCTTGCTCTGCTTAGAATAAGAATGAGCACGAGCACTTATTTTCAGGAGTTTTGTTCAAGGAGTCCCCAGCGGAAAAAGGCACTTTTCTGAGGCAGAGGACAGGCTGGCTCAGCAGGCTGCTTGCCAGTCTCCTCATTGTGGGGTTATTCAGGATCCCCATCCTCTGCACAGAGGTTTTCACCATTCAAACTGAGGGCTGATGACCATTTTAGGAGCTCAGCACCTAACTCTCTCCCAGGACATTGTTTCCAGTCCAAGCTGTGATGCCCTGAGGATGATAACTAACATGAAATCCTTCCTTCAGCACACTAACACACTAACAGGGACAATCTGCAACCTCCTTCCTTTGTTCTAAGTAAAAAGATAAATGATGATGAATCACAACAGGTGATTTACTAGCTTTTTTAGCATGTTCAGTTCTGTCTAAAGTAAAGACCTGGCTCCACTGAAGTCAGTAGCAAAACCTCCATTTCTTTTACAAGGATTCCCAGTAAAGAAATAATACAATACTAAGGCATCAAAATAAGACTATCGGTTAATTGCAGTATAAATATTCTTACTGGAAAACTGATTAGGGGAGTGCAGTGAGGATGGATTACAAAACCTGATGTAAAATTAAATGTACTTATCATTTGGTGACAGCATGAAGCAGTTAATATCTTCTTTCGCTAACATTTCATACCCACAACAGAAACACAGATAGGTCTGAATCATGCTAGTGTTAAGAATTAGAAATTTGCCTGTACTATATACTGTGGGAAAGCAAACGGTTGAGTTCATTCCCCCAGCTAAGCCCACCTACCCCACCTCAAGGTGGGTAGAACATGAATATGTGGAAATGCTTGGTAAATATTTACCTTTCTGCAACAACTACTGCTCCTTCCAAACCAGCCAAATTTCCTTAGTCTAACAGATGATACTGCCCAGGAAGCAGGTAAAAAAGCTTTCCAAACCTGGAGGGTTATGTCTTCCTGCAAGAAGTCTTAATGTTTTCAGGGGAATTATTTGAGGAGAAAGGAGCTGCAATTCCAAGCATTAGGAAGAAAGTCAGATATGATCTTGAACAAAATTAAGATAGATGTTTACAAGAATGTGAGTGTGACACTGAGTGTAGTGAGATACAGCAGTCACTATGACTGGCTACCCAAAGAGCTTGGCCAAGTTAACTCACCAGGAGTCAGAGTACAGGTACAGTTCAGTTTAAGATGAAGCCACTTAAATTTAGGCTTTTACATGTAAATGCAAAGGATTTGAAGCAGCAATTTCAGTAGGTTGAGACCTGGAGCTTGATTCAGCTGCTCAAACTCTATGCCTTTTAGAAATCCTTGCTACTGAGACCTCCCTGGGGAACCTGGTAAAAGCAGAGGGCACAGGATGGGTCAGAGACCCCCTGCCCCCCAGGGCAGCCACCAGAGGCCATCAGAATAACTGGGGCATCTCACCCCTTGGGCACCAGAACCATGCCCTTGATTCACATGTAAAAAACCTCCCACCTGTACCTAAATATAAGTATGTTAGTCTGGAGCTGATTAAGATTGATTAGGACCTACCCATGGCACCTCTGCATTGAAAGGACACTCCTGCCATCCTTTCTTCTGTATGCATATAGGACACAAGACATGAAAGCAAAACTGTTTCTGTGTCAACAGGTGCTGATATCTGTATGACACACCTCTGTCACTATTTATTCACAGGAATACTAACTTTGGGCAGAAGAAAAAACAGTCTTAATTCAAAAATCCTAACAATAATGACAATTTCTTCTATGTATACATCACTTTTTTTTTCCAGAAGATACATTAACAGGTATCCACAATGTGTGTGCAAGCTACTCATCTCCTGATAAAACACACTCTTGTATTTTTCAATACTTAGCATTTTAAAAGGCTTGAAGAGTCTAACAGCGTTTTTACAGGCAGAAAAAAATACAAAGCTCTTTAATATACAAAACTGAAATAAGCATCTCATTTTGTGTATTGATTCCTCCCAAAACCCTTTGAGGCTCTCAGAGAGCTTGAATAAGAAATTCTTATGAATGTCTTTTGTCATTTTCCTCTCAAAAACAAAACAGCATAGATAAAATAAATAGCAAAGCAGTCTCTTTCTACTGCATGACACACAAGCAAAAATGGCATAAATCATCTTTAAGATGTCTGTGGGCAAAGTGTGTTCAGAGCTGTTTGCCTATCAGTTTACAAATGAGAGTTTAATCTTTGCATGTCAAAGGTAACAAGCAGGACATGGGAAAGATTTATTAAAAGTCATGATTGGTTTGCTTCAGATCTAGACAATAACCTGCTTCTTGGAAACCTGTCCAGTGAAGGCCCAGCTGTTTCATTTCAAGCCTAACCAGAGTGACCCTGAACACAGCCTAATTGGCTCCTCCATTTATACTCGTTCCATTTGCAGCTTGCTGTTGCAGCAGGGCAGAGACAACATTCCCAGGCTTAGCACACCCAGATGTCTTTTATTTATAAAGCAAAATCTGAATTTTATCAGTGTCTAATACTTGATTTTGAGACTATTACACTAGCTAATGCCTTTTTTTTGGTCTAAACTACTCCTATGTAGTCTCAACCTTAACTGCATGCTGATGTGATTTGTATCTTGTAAAATGTCAGAGGACTGAATTTTTATTGCAGATGTGATGACTGGAACAAATGTGTGACTCATTGCCACATCTTTTATTGATGGGGCTGGGGGTTACACTGCACAACATTAGCAGAGGAAGAAAGATGATTTGCAAATTAAACTCTGTGAAAAGGGTAGCATCTTGCAGAAGACTATGGCCAGGAATCAGTTTCCTCCTAGGGGGCTGGTCTTTTAGAATCATATTCTTACTGATTTAGCATTTTTCAATCTTTGGTCTGATTTTATTTCTTAGTCACAGTCAATTCTCTTTCTTTTTGCCTAGCCATGTTTTCATTGCTGTATGCCAAAATGAAACCAGTTAAATACAAAACACACAGTGGTAGACAATTCACTATTTGTCTTTCCTTGAAAGCCTTCTCACACTCAGTCAATGCAGAAGTAAATCACTGCTCCTGAATATCTCTTCTCCAAATGCCTAGATATCCTGATTTGCTCAACTATTTTGTTTTTTTTCCCCAGCTTTCTAAACCAAACCAA